CTACCTCTACATTTTGATTTATTGCATTCGTTTTCTGACGTGGAGGAAAAACAACACCTGTGTTTGAAATACCGAAATTAAACACACACACTTATACATTTATATTATTATTATATTGATGAAAACGATAAAAAAATTATCTCTTTTGCAATAAATCCCATTTAAATAAACAAATCCAAAAGGGTTTTTTCTGTTTTACCAGGTGATAAAAAAGAAAATATTTCCTAATTATAAACAAAGAGAGCTATTCTTTCGCGGAGCGTCATCATTTTGCGCTTTGTCAGCTAGAAATAAAAAGGGATCCCTTTTTTCGCCCCCATCGTCCTATCCGATTACAATCGAGCCACACTGTTCGAGATACGATCACAAAAGATATCGAATGCGAGAAGAACATGTTAAAACAATGGGGTTCGAATCACTTCAGATATCGAACGTGGAAGGGTTGAGATCTGGAGACGTCGCCATCACCGGAAAATCAGAGACTCTCCTATAGAGGTACCCCCATGTGTTCTCTCCACTTCAGATGGGAGTATCTCATTTCCGGTTTATTATGTATTCGATACAGGCAGATGTAAAAAAATCGTGATTAAAAGATAAATGATCAAGTATATAACTAAAATGATGACTATGATTAATTTTATGTTATATAATATTAAATCATCACCTTTAAAGACAGAATATTTTAGCATTCATTAATCAGTTATTCCCTAAAGTTACATTTTCCTCGAAAACCTAACTTTTTAACAAATATTCATCGACTGGAAGTGTAATAATTGTATATATATTCCAATTAGTTTTACCTGGTGCGTGATGCTTTTTGTGCTTGCAGATGACTAGCAGCAAGATAAGAAGTTAACAAATTAAAATGTACATCTACAAAGCTTGATACTCGAAAATCATTCATGCGTAAGCTCATTAAATCTCTAGATTGAAACCAAAAAACCTCATGAGTACCCAGTTTGTGGTGAATACAAAGTAATTTGATGTGTTCTTCAAGACGGAAATGTAGTCTTTTGTGGTCATAAAAAATGCTTTATGTTAGGTTTTACCAAATTTTAAGTTTCCATGATGGCCAGTTTATTTTATACACATTTTTAAATATCACCTATGTAATTTTACGTTTTTCGAAAGTGAGGTTAAAGAAAAAAATTGATTTCTCCGAGACGGTTAGGATTTTGGAAATGAAATTTTTTGTGGTTATAAAGAATTATTTGAGGTTAGGTAATACCAAATTATAAGCTTCCAGGGTTACCAATTTATTTGATATTAATTTAAATAAAATCGCCGGTTAATTTAGTGTTGTAAGTGAAGTTAAAGAAAAAATATTGTTTTCTCCTTAACAGTTAGGATTTAAGAAATAAAACTTTTTAATGTTATAAAGGAATGTTAGAGGTAGGGTTATACCAAATTATAAGCTTCCAGGGTTACCAATTTATTTTATATAAATTAAAAAAAATCACCGGTTAATTTAGTGTTGTAAGTGAGGTTAAAGAAAAAATATTGTTTTCTCCTTAACAGTTAGGATTTAAGAAATGAAACTTTTTGGTGTTATGAAGGAATGTTCAAAGTAGGGTTATACCAAATTATAAGCTTCCAGGGTTAGCACTTTATTTTATACAAAATTTTGAAGTTATCGGTTAATTTGATGATTATTGAAAGTGAGGTTGGAGAAAAACATGGTTTTCTCCAAGACGGTTAAGTTTTTGGAAATGAATTTTTTTGTGGTTATAAAGAAATATTTGAGGTTAGGTAATACCGAATTATAAGCTTCCAGGGTTACCAATTTATGTTATATAATTTATAAAAAAATCGCTTTCAGTGTTGTAAGTGAGGTTAAAAAAAAATATTATTTTTTCCTTAACAGTTAGGATTTAAGAAATGAAACTTTTTGGTGTTATAAAGGAATGTTCAAGGTAGGCTTATACCAAATTATAAGCTTCCAGGGTTAGCACTTTATTTTATACAAAATTCTGAAATTATCGGTTAATTTGATGTTTATTGAAAGTGAGGTTAAAGAAAAATATTGTTTTCTCCAGGACGGTTAGGATTTTGGAAATGAAATTTTTTGTGGTTATAAAGAAATATTTGAGGTTAGGTAATACCAAATTATAAGCTTCTAAAGTGACCACTTTATTTGTTTTTAAAGTTTTAGTTTCTGCGCTGATTGATTCTAGCACCACATAAAATGAAATCATACTTCAGTATCCAATTATTAATTAATTAATGACCTAATTATTCGGCTGATTTTCCGATAATTCAGATTATTCCAATATGCCTTATTCAAGAATACGACACGTTTTTTCGTCTAGGAACAAATAAATATTGAAACAACACGATGACTTGTTTCTAAAACTGTTGCAAACCGTGTATATGTATAAAATAGACTATGCAGGGTTTGCAAAACTAAACGGTATCTAGCAATGGGTAAGATAAGCTATCATCATAATGACTAACAAGAAATATTAGATTTGGGTATTATACTCCTATTGCACTTTTAGCACTATATCGACGTTCTGGAATCGTTTTATGAATGCTTTGGAACTTGGCGCCTAAAGCATCAAGCACTAGTTTGATATACGCACGGTTAAACCCGGAGAATATGACTTAAGCTATTTAATTAAAGTATAAAGATGCTTACGGTAGCAAAATTGTAATCCTTAAACTATGCAATTATGTATTTATATCCAATGTTATTCTCATTCTCATATGAAGCAGCAACTACTTCCAATTTGGACTATAACATATAGCATGTTCAAAACGTTATTTGCTTGATAATCTGTAAGATTTTGATTAAATGTTACACAGCAATGTTTTAGAATAGTGTTAGATGACGTGCGAACGGTTCTATCTCAATCTGCCTATTATTCGGTAAGAATCTATCTTGAAGAGAAATGTGTGGCTCATTGTCGTGTGAATCCAACCTTAGGATATTTATGATAATCGGCTGTGTTGCCACCGATTTACACTGATGTTGGGTTTGTTCGCGACTTTCAGTTGTTGCTAAAGGTAATAAACGCGATCTCACTTTTCCTGGTCTGAAACGTCAATAATAATCTTAACCTTAATAATATCTTTCGTCTGTATTAATGGAGATTAAGAAATCATTTTTGTAGCAAATTAAAGTTTGATATTTCCTCTTTAATTTATTGAATGATTTGATTGTTAGCTTTAGGTGCCTATTATGTGGTGATGTCGTATTATAGTTTGCTTTGGACATAATAGCCGAGTACAAGAGGTTATTCACAGTTCAGAAATGAATTATAAGGCTAATATTTGATATGACCGGATATGAATTATGCGAAATAACTAACATCGATTGCTTACTCTCTAAGCCCAGCAACAGGCATTTTCCCCTCATTTTTCCATTTACTTCCATCTCCAATATACTATATTTGTTATGTTTAGTTTCCGCCTCGCCTTATCCCTTTCTGGAAAAATAACTTTTAGTACACGCTTATAGTTGAATTAATACTAGATCTAGATCAAGATACATTCGGGTTTAGCCGTCTTAAGAGCTAAACCCGAATGTTTCTAGTTCTAGATTTAGTGCTAAATGGCAATTAAAACTAGAACTAACACTAAACCTGGAACTAGAATCATTCGGGTTTAACTCTTAATACGGCTAAACACGAATGTTTCTAGTTCTAGGTTTAGTGTTAGTCCTACTTCTAGTGCAATAAAAATATACAATAATCTAACGCTGAGTAACAATTAAAACTAGAACTAACACTAGACCTAGAACTAGAAATATTTGTAATTTTCTCGAAACTTTCTAGTTCTAGGTCTAGTGTTAGTTTTAGTTTTGCTTGAATAAAAGTATTACACAACAGTCTAACGGTGAATAACAACTAAATCTAGAGCTAACACAATCACTAGAACTAACACTAGAACTAGAAATATTTGGGTTTAGCCGTCTTAATTAAACTAGAGAGTTAATAGAGATTTAGATTAGTTTGAGAATTATAACTGCCATTACCGATAATATTGATGATAAAAAAGTTATAACTATGTTGATATTTAATTCTGTTAAACCTATGCGGATTTTCCAAGTGAAAATTGCCGTGGGGATGTTCACACGTCGACCGTTAGCGTATTTAATCGAATACGTAACGTAATTCAATAGCAATCGTAACCCAAGGCGGTCAATTAACATCAGGGGGTTGGGTTAAATCGAGAATTTCGTGCGCGAATCACCATGTAATTAAACTCTGTAATAACACAAATTGTTGAATAAAATTTTTAGATTTGAATAAAAAAAATTTAATATAACTTTGACCCTTTTGTTGAAATAATTTTTTTTTAAATCCCGGATGATCGTTGAAGTCACGTTTCCGCTCCGGAAAAGAAACGAGAAGATAAAAGTGCGTATTAACCTCCCTCGATTTAGGTGTATCTTGCGTCTCCGAGGGCCAATTGCAATTTGCTTCGTTATTTTTTTACTTCTTCCGCTCTGAGGCGCGCCCTAATCGTCGGATTATGAATCTTTTTATCTTCGTGCATCTTTTCGGCTCCGGGGAACAATGTTTAAAACGAGCCGGAAAATCTCAACAGACGCCAATCTTATCGTGTCGAAGTGGAGGAGTTAATAAGAAAACGAGGGGGCGAGAATTTCGGGGGCGCCTTCAAGTGGTTTCACTATTTACGTCTCACCGGGTTTAACTTATCTTAGGTTGTGGTAGTTCGTGTGCCACTTGACTTACGAAAAGAAATAAACCAGAAGCCCACACAAATATACTAATTTTTTTGTAGTGGCGCCACATAATGTTATACTCTTACAACAAAAAAAAAAAAAAAACATATGTGAACTTGACTTTTACTTTTACTACCTCAAGTGGTTTAAACTTGAAAGATAAATAGGGTTGATTATATTCTTAAATTAAATGAATAACATCGTTTAGCAGGAAAGAAAAAATTGTGATAGTTTTTGATGATTTTGATTTTCTTTTTTTAGAAGGTTCTCAGAGTTTGAATATTAATCATCGTAACTTTTTTAACCGCAGTAATTCTCTACCATTTCGCAGTTCCAGGCCCGGAAGACCACCCAAAAGAGCTCCAGTCGGATTGAGTTTGGCCGCTTCACATCTCCAACATCAACAGCTGAAGAAACAACGTATGGACAATGGGGATTATCCATATGAAAATGGTCACATGGGGGGTAAGTTTATTCTTTCAAATTGTTTTTTATCTACAACTATTACTAAATTCTTGTTATCTTTTGTATAAAAGGGTAACATGTACCGTGCGGAATTCAAATAACCGGAGTTGAACGAAAACGCCGCTTCGGATTATTAATAACAAAGGTATCCGGTCGAAATATTCGCGTATTGTGTGTCCCCGGAGTTCCGTGTGATCTGTTTACGCTGAATATTCGCAGTTGGGGGCGAAAATATGTCGGTTATTAAACCCTTTTGGGCGCGGATACAACACAATCGAGGTAATTAAGTACGTGGCGGCATTCGCGGACCCTTTGTAAAGCTCTGAATTTTTTTTGGGTCTGTTCCCCGGAATTTGGTGTTCGTGTTTATCGCCAATAACTATGGGTATAGTGGAAACGGCGTCGTCTAAATGATTAATGCGTCAATTGGCTGTAAAAGAAACACATGGTTTCTCGACGATGCTAATTGCAGTTTAACACGAAATCCTGACCGATATTAAAAAAGTTTTTATTCTTTTACTTCAAATTTTAGTTTCAACTGATTTTAATTTTCGAATAAAAATCTTTTTGATTTAAAAATGTAAAACGAGCATAATTAAATTCAGCGGCAGTTACAAACGAACGATTAAGTTCGTTGAATGAGAGAGTTGCTCGTATAACGACGTTGCTCGATTCGAAAGATTACCCGTGAAAAATTTTCTTCGCCTCGTGTAACCGTGTGTGTGTGTATTAACGCGGTTATTTTAAAAAGACAGATGGTCCGGTGAATAATTCTCCGAATTCCCCAACGGTTTTGCACCGTTTATTAAATGAGATTCAAGTTCACCAAAAAGGCGGACTAATTTTAAACCAAGAATACGGTGGTTTGTAAAAAAGTTGTAAGAGTCAGGTTGGATTGAAATTGACACAGTATACAAAAAAATTAATTATAGATTATGTTATTATCATTGACTTTAACTATTAAGTTATCCAAGTTGTCATAAATTTTGCTTACCTGTCAGTTTTTCATTGACTATTGATGTAGTAAATCATGCACTAGAATGTATGTGTTGTATGATGCAAAATAGATGAATGATAAAATGCTAAATTATGCAAAAAGATGTTTTTTTTTCGGAAATAATGAAAAAAAATCATGTTTATGTTAAAGTACAATAAAATATTTTCAAATCCATAAACAGTTTTGTTCTGATAGCTCCAGAGCAGAGGTTCCTAATCATTTTGGATCTAAATTTGATGATTAAGCTGTATTTGTATTTGACATAGGATCCAAAATCCATCTTCGTGTTATCGTTCCAAATCAACATGAGAAATATCCAATTATTTTTTTAAATACAGCTGATAATGCGAGGCAAGTGGTTATTAATACAAATTTTCCCACAAAACCTTTCTATTAAATTCAAGTCATCAACTAAAATTGCAACTAAAATTTACTTACAGTTTGTCAAAATATGTTTTTGAATACCCAAACAAATTATTTCTGGAAGTTTAGTATACTATGATGCGAATTTATTGATCTGCATATTTTGATCAGCTATTTTATCCTACCAATTTACAGCTTTTGTCGATTTTGAAATATTTTACTATTACTTTACGTTAGTATTTTACTTACTAACAGAAGATTGATCAAACTTCCTGAAGGAACAAGGGAAGAAAACAGTATACGTATAACAGCATCCCCAATCAGATTAATCATAAAGGACATAACGAAAGTATGTATACAAAGTACTTGAAACATTATTCCAGAATACACCACACACAGAGACACCATACATAAAAACGGAGACAAGAAAAGCTGTGCTATACAAAGTGTATGGCAACACCCACCTGATGATTATAGATCCAAAAATGCGACCATAAAAGCAGTAAGGAATTTACATCAACAAGCAACAACTAAAATCAAGATGGGGCAGAAAGTGTCTAATGGCTTCTATATCACTAAAGGACTTAAGCTAGGGTGGTACCTATATACGACATTGTTCAAAATATATCTATAGTAAGAACGACATCAACATATTATGTTTCGCCGACGAACAAATAGCAATCATACAAGACTAGCAAGACCAGGATTAAACCCATAAAAAAATACAATGACTAGGACCTAGAAGTTAATATACAACAGGATCTTAATCTAAACGATGGGAGATGCATAAAATATACTAGCTAGTATAAATATTTGGGAACATAAAAAACCAAGGCGGAACACTAGAGTGCACCATAAAGGGAGTAATAGACAACATAAGAGTAAACCAGCTAAGATAGTACGGACTTATACAAAAAATGTCAGATAGAGGGCGACCAAAACAAATTTGCCAATGGACGCCCGAAGAAAGAAGAAGGAATGGAAGACCGAAGATAAGTTTGAGAGATGACATAGATAAAGAACATAAAGAGGAGGACTTCTTGTTTACTGTGGATAGCACAGTTAAAGAACTGTGTCCTATTTAGGAGGATTTCAACACCATTGTCTCAGTGTTTCGTGTGATATGTTTCTTAATATGCAATCTTCTTAGGTTCGATATTCCTAACATTTGCTTTGAGGAATCCCTTGTCCCACGTCATTGACATTATTACAACGTAGTTTGGTAGTTACAGTTTTTAGACATAAAAACATGAAGAACCCCAGTAATGATGTTCTGCTTGATTTCTACCCCACAAAGACAGAAATGCGCTTATTCGTTGTCGTAAACAGATGAAGAACATAGAAAAGGGAACTAGAAGATTTCTTCTTTACTTTGAATAGCACAGTTAAAGAACCTTCCTATTTAGGAGGATTTCAACATCATTGTCTCAGTGTTTCGTATGGTATGTTTCTTAATATGCACTCTCATTTAGCTTTTCTTAGGTTCGATATTTCTAACATTTGCTTTGAGGAATCCCTTGTCCCACGTCATTGACGTTATTATAGCGTAGTTTGGTAGATACAGTAACAGTAAGGCATGAAAACATGAAGAACCCCAGTAATGATGTTCTGCTGTATTCCTGCCACGCAAAGACAGAAATGCACATCTTCGTTGTTGTGAATAGATAAAGAACATAAACAAAGGAAACTAAAACAGGATTTCTTCTTTACTTTAAATAGCACAGTTAAAGAACCTTCTTATTTAGGAGGATTTTAACTCATTGTCTTAGTGCTTCGTATGGTATGCTTCTTAATATGCACTCTCATTTAGCTGTTTTGAGGTTCGATATTTACGAACCTTTGCTTTGAGGTACTCCTTGTCCCACGTCATTGACATTATTACAACGTAGTTTGGTAGTTACAATTATTAGGCGTGAAAATATAAACCCCTGAATGATGTTCTGCTTGATCCTGCCCCGCAAAGACAGCGCTCTTCGTTATCATGAATAAGTAAAGAACATAAAGAAAGGAAACTAAAAAACGACTTCTTTATTTTGGATAGCACAGTCTTCTTATTTAGGAAGATTTTAACAACATTGTCTCAGTATTTCGTATTATCGTATGTTTCTTGATATACACTCTCATTTAGCTCTTCTGAGGTTCATGAAGTAGCAGTAAGGCATGAAAACATGAGGAACCCCAGTAATGATGTTCTGCCTGATTCCTGCCGCACAAAGACAGAAATGCGCTTCTTCGTTGTCCACAAAGTTGCATTGGGTGGTCTTTTATAAAGTCTTATCCAATCACCTGGACTTAATTCTTGGGCAATCATAACCTTATAAGGGTGTAATTTTAAATGAGTGCGCAATTATGATTCAATATGAAGTGAATATTACGCACATATGAGGGTTTCACCAGCTAGGTTTGAGCCTGATAATCATAGATCTTAAATTGTTATAAATAGATTCGTTAAAAATGATTTGTAATTTTCGACAATCTTTTAAGTTTTAACCGATTACCCTGAAGGGATACCAAAAAAAGGTTTCACAAAGCGTAGATGGTCTCGCGTTAAATGATATATTTATAAACAATAATTTCTTTCGGACCACAGTAATCATTTGAATAGCCCTCCCGATCGCTATAATCAAGCGTTTAGGGCTCCGATGGTCGTAAACGCGCTTAACCATCAGAAAACAAATTCTAAATGGATCGCGGGAAAATTACACGGCCGCAGGGTCAGACCCAAAAAAGCGGCAGAAAGAGCTGGGTCTCGGGTACGTTTCTTTTCTTCTTGGATCGAAAAAAAAGGAGGGGGCGCATGTCATTCGTTGGCAGGCTAAAACGCGTGTGACTATTCATTTGATAATTGCAGTGATTTAGTACCTTTGATCGCTGTGGGCAAGGATAAATACCGGGCTGCGCCACTTCGAAAACCAGTTACAGAATCCATTTAATATCCATCTCTCCGGTCACGGTCTCTGCCTTTTGATTTTTCGAACCTATTAGTGTCACGTCCATCGAATAACTCAACCGTCGATTTTCTCGTTTTTGCGCATCGAAAACTCTACTCTCATCATCTCAAACTTGTAATATTAACTTTTTTTAACCTAAAATTACGTTTATCGATTTTACATCAATAATATATTTTATCATCAATAACTTGAAATTAATAAAATTTCAAATAAAATTATTTTCTTTAAACACGTCATCAGCTTCCTCTGAAACTTATTACTTTGCAAATCATACCATCTGGTTTATATTTCAGGACGCCTACACTGAAAATCAATCTCTCTTTCAATGCTTCGATAATTTCCTCTCTATCTTTGTGTGGACGCACCGCTAAGACACAAAAAAATAAGTAATAAGAATGAAAGCTCGTATTGGCGATGCATGAAATATGACTCCAAATTGAATATAATTTGAATAATGCCGCCCGGCTAGTTCCATCGCTCCGGGACAGGAATTCATTATCAGTTATGGGCTCTGGTGCTCGAGATAAGTGGAAGAGGCCGCCTCGCCGACGTAACCCACTCGAAGAAGTTAAATTCGAGGTAATTTAATCGGTATTAAACCGACCACTTAAATTAGAGAGACTGAGTTTTGAGATTCATTGCAAAACGACCTCAATAAAAACATACATAAATTCGTTTTCTAAAATTTA